AATAACGCGCCAAAGGAAAACTGCTGACCAAATCCACCAATCATAAGTCGGAGAGGTTCTCTATCCTCCAATCACATGGCAGTGCGTAACCACAAAAACCAACAAAAGTTGACGCAAAATAGGATCATTAGTTCATCGCAACAGAAATATGCATAATTATTCAGGGACGAATCATTCTTTCGGTAAAGTAACAGCTTACGCATATTTTGAAATCCTTCTGAGGTGCAACTACAGTACGGTTATGTAAGAAGTGCAATCCTTTACTCTAATAACGAAACTAAAGCAAGAAAAATCAAGTGTCTTGTACAAATCGACCAGAGCCTTGTTTAAGCTTTAAAAACTGGTTTGTTTTATCGTGTCGCTTCTGTTAAGTGTTGGCAGTTTTCTCCAATTGAACAATTACCTTGACAAGTGTAGCGCTACGCGTGAAATTGTAAGGGAGCGTACTTGAAAATTAACTTTTCTCAGGACATTCAAAAATACACCAATCGGACATTCAGGAATTTAGCATGGGCATCCAATTGATGGAGAAAAAGGATAACAACTTCCCATTGCACTACAGCATTTATAACGGCCTCGATACGGTTGAGACCATAGGAAAATCGACGCCCGAGCAACTGGATGCTCAAGACCAGTACGGTAGCAGAAAATGTTAAAATGACAAGATTTTTAGGAAATACCGCTCTTCATATAGCGTCAATGCTTAACGATAATGGTAATTATTTGTGATATCTTACGAAAGACTCTATTTTACGCCTCCTGGCTATGGGGTGTCGCGTTGACATTCGGAATAGAGAAGGTTGGCGAGCAGTGGATGAAATGATTAGCTTAAAAAATAGGGATATGGGTTTGAGTCGCTCTTTCATCCTTATTTTGAAGTTACCAAAGCGTTTGTGTCTTACAGGGATCAAATTTTGAAGGAAGGCACTTCAGAAAAGATTTCCGACAAGCTTATGAATATCTCCGATTGCGTCCTAGACTTTCACTGGGAGTTAAAGAGCTGGGGTGAGTTTTAACACTAAAACAAATATACAGAATTTTTCTTGGATATATAAATATATATTGTGCGTCATGTATACATTACGTAAAATTTATCACCGCGATTATTTTTATTGGAACACAAACGGAGGAATTTTCACGTATTTCATCAAAAGCCGAGTCTTCGTCACCAGTATCATCTAGGTTTTTAT